AAGCCGCGCCCACTACCCAGAGCCAGAGGGATGGTGGTAGTCACGGGGCGGGAGCCAGACAGCCGTCGCCCAGACGGTGCCATGTCCAGCTCCGACGCCGAAGACGACTTTTTGGAGCCGGCCACCCCGACGGCCACGCAGGCTGGGCACGCTCTGCCCCTGCTGCCCCAGGAGGTACCTGGGAGGGGGCGGGGTGAGAGGGCGTGGGAGGGGACCCCGAGCCAGAAGCGGGTGCAGGATAGAACTGACCTTGCGAGGTGAGCGGCGGCGTGGGGTGTGGCGGGGGACGCTGGGGCTGAGGGCTGTGGCGGAGCAACTGTGCTCCCCCGCCCGCCCTGTAAAGTGCACCAGATCTGTGCCTTCCCAGCCTTTCAGCGAGCCTGGGCTCCCACGCCCTCCTTCCAGCACTCACTGCCTTCAAGGTTGCTTTACTCCCATCCCTATGTCCCATCTTTACCATCTACAGGAGAGATCCTGGGCTGGCGGAGGGGACTGTGGGACACCAAGAGATGATAGCGTCTTCTATGGTAACCAGGAGGAGGCCTCGGTGGTTGTCCAAACCCAGTCCTCAGCTGCAGATAGTGGGGCCAGGTGCTGTCTGCAGTACGGAGCAAGCGGATTCACAAATGTGTCCACCCTCACCTGACTGCTCTATAGCTCTCACACGGCTCTTTCTAGCTGCTGTGCCATGATGCACTGTGCCTTCCTCCCTTACCTGTCGTGTGCCATAGTATCTATTTAACACCTGAAATGACCCTTAAGGGGAAAGAAGAGGGAAGGTGGGGTGTTGCTGGACACTATAGAAGGCAACTAGGAGGTAGGAACTGAGACAGTGTTGGATATGGGAGTATGTAATGCGTGTAGTCCCAGAAGAATGGACAGAGCCCCAGAGGGACTGGGCTGGTGATGTTTTTGGACAACAGATAGCATCATGCCAATCCTGGAGCCCTGTACCTCCAACATCATGGAAGGCTTGTGAAAATGAGCAAGTTTCTAGAAGTACTCTCTGTAACTGGGGGTTGGGGGGGGTCAGTAGAGAGACACAGTGGTGCTAATTTTTGAATACTATCATTGGGGAAACTGTAATTTGGAGGAAAGGGCACAAGACCCATAGACTTAGTCCAAGGCTCCAGTGCCAGCTTCCCACCAACGACATTCTGTGTGAACTCTTTTCGTTACTTTTTTTCTTCTCTATTTCAATCTTCTCACCTCTGGTATGGAGCAAATACTTGGATGGGTATGAAATATCCTTGGGAAGGATTTAAGGAGCTCCAGCAATGTAAATTAGTAGTATTCGCTCCACCAACCTTCAGATAATGTGAAGTATCATTATTTGAGTCCTTGGTGTGCACATTTTATGGTTTTAGAGGATCTGCAGATTAAGTGAAAGGCATTTCCACTTCTCTGGATAAAGAATAACAGTACATACATACATAGAACTGTAAACACTGGTCTAATTTATTCATTCATTCAATGAGTTTTGCATCTTTACTGTGAATCAGGCACTGCACAAGTTCACTGCACTGGGTGTTTTATTTAATGTATATTTGTCCTCCTTTATTTTACAAAGGGTCCGAAAACTGGAAAGGAGACTGTCTAGGTAAATATGCAAAGACTTTCATGGGAAACAAAAGATGCTGTAATATCAAAAAGAATGCACTGGGATAAAATTTTAGTTTATCTTGAAGAAATTTGTGAGAAAATTAGAGAACTGACCTTGTTTCTTTGGGATGCAGTTTATAGAAACCACAAGCAGTTATAGACATCTCCCTCCACCCCCCCCCCCAAAAAAACCCACCCCCCTTCTCGCGCCAGCTATTCGCACTTTGGGGCAAATCTATGCCATCATTTTCCTGTTCCTTACCCAGCCCTTGCCTCTAGAACTTTAGCTAAACTGGGGCCTAATCTTCCTACTTTACAAATTAAGTAGAAGAGAAGTGGTGAGGGAGAGAATGAGGAGTGGATGCCTAGAAGCATTCAGCAAACATCTGCTGAGCTCTGCTGTGGGCAGCCCAGGATTGGCATGCAGGCTACTTTATCTCCCGTTGGGAAGCTTAGGGTCTAGTTCAAGGAGATGACAAGATAAGTAATTTCCAATATATTGTACTGTGGGGCTGTGCCGGAGTGTGGCATACAGTAAAGGCACAAAGGAAGAACTCCACATTGGGGGCAAGTGAGAGACAGTAGAGCAGAAATGCCCACGAATAGCCGAAACTTGAATTGAAGCCTTTAGAATGAGTGTCTATAGTGCCTTGGTGTGAAGTAGACAAAGGGTGCACAGCTGGGTCAGCAGATCACTCTCCTCCTGATGTGCTTATGCAGTGAACAACCTGTACCATGATGCAGGGCAGTTTTATTTGTTAGATGGAAAGGGAAAGGGGAGAGTGGTAGGAGCATTTTGGTTCAAGAAAGACAGCACAAGCAAGGACATAAAAACAATTCAGTACATGGCAGGAGGACAGTGAAGGCCTGAGTTCTAGAGCAGGCCTGATGGGATTGAAGTGGAAAGACTCAATTTTTTTTCTTTTTTTTTCTTTTTATTATCATCATAATCTTGTTTATATTACATTGGATTGCATATAACTTTACAGTGTATTACATTGCTTTTTCCAAAGGGAATGCCATGCATATCAGTCACTTCAGAGACATTAATCTCCTCACTTCATCATTCAATATCTTTTCAATGTTCTTCCCAATCATTATTATTATTATTCTAATTATTTTTTTAGACAGTCAATTACTATTTCTCATTTTGCTTGTAAAAAGACTTTACCCATCTTGAAATACTTCTCAGATGAATCCAGTTGAGAATACTATACATGTCATCATCAACAGGTAATAAGCCATATCTGTTTCCCACTAATGTCCTGCCTCTCTATTGTTCTCTTGCTGTCTTTCTCTATCCTCTTCTCTTCACCCATTCCACACTGTACTTCTCATTAAGTATTTTCACTGCTTTTATGTCCTCCAATAATTTGTTCTCTACCATAGAGTGCGGATGGATAGTCGGTATATATTAAGTGAACACAGACAGTCTTTCTTTCATAGCCTGGCTTACTTCACTCAGCAATAGATCCTCCATATCTGACCACTTTCTATCAAATGCCAGGGTCTTGTTATTTTTTATGGCTGAGTGGTATTCCATAGAGTATATATACCATACTTTTCCAATCCATTCATCAGTTTGAAAGACTCAATTTAAAAGCTATTAGGTAGAATGAATAGGATTTGGCAATCGATGAGTGTAGAAAAGAGGAAAGAGAGAGGAAAGTATTCAGACAGCTCTCAGGGGTTGGGTGACCAAGTGAATGGTGTGGCACTAACCTGACCCAAGCAGACTGAAGACACAGCAACCCCAGCTCTCATTCCTTCCTATCTACCTGAGAGCCCTGGTGGTTCCTTTGCAGTTTCCTGAGGTTGTCCCCCTTAACATCGGAGGGGCTCACTTCACCACACGCCTGTCCACCCTGAGGCGCTATGAAGACACCATGCTGGCGGCCATGTTCAGTGGACGGCATTACATCCCCACAGACTCTGAGGGCCGGTACTTCATTGACCGAGATGGCACACACTTTGGGTATGTTTCTCTCTACAATCAACTTTGTAGCAAGTGAGTAGCCTGGGCTTGGGTATGGGACATTGGCATCTTTCATAATTCCTAGAAAAGGAGATACATATTAATAGACATTAATAAATGTGCTTATTGAATTGGATCAAAATCTGTAGTTTCTTAGGAGACAAGGACAGCTAGATAAGTTCCAGAGAACACACCCTGCACCCGGCTGTGATGAACTTCTATCCTATTCAACTTGAGACTGGGATGTTGCCATCTATGTGGAGAGGAGCAGGTGCAATCCCACCTAGGAGCAGAGAGTCTAAAACAACTTCTCAGAATACTTTCAAATCCATATTCTGTGGCTTGACATTGCCATGGTGTGCAACAGTGGTTCCCAGACTTCTTTCAGTAGTTGGAAACAAATTAAAAAAAAAAAAGATAAAGAGGCAAGACAGTAGTGCAGTGGTAATACAACTGAACCCACATGGGAAGATCCCCAGTTTGTGTCCTAGGGCCTCCTTGTACATTCCGGACATGTGAACATGGGCCTGTGGTCTAGACTGGCTGAGGTTGGGGTAAATCATAGAGTGAAAACCCTATTGGGTATGCCACTTTCTCTGTTTCTCTCTCTCTCTCTGTTTCTATCTCTGTCTATCTCTTTCCCCCAAGGGGAAAAAAAAAAAAGAAACAAAAATAAAAGGTGAAAGGCCAGAACTGATTAGGTTGCTATCCTTTAATTTTGGCAAGAAAAGTCTTTTTTAAAAACCCAACTTTTGGAGCTGGCAGGTGGTGCAGTGGTTAGGGGTGCTGGGCTCCCACATGGTCAGCTGAGGTTCGAGTCCCAGACCAAGTGACTTGCTTTCTCACTTACTATCTCTCTCTCTCACTCTGTCCCTCTCTGGTCAAATTAAAATAAATAAGTAAAGTCAAATAAAATAGTTCTTTTAAAAAATTCCAACTTTCCATTGTCACTACCATTTTCACACTAAATAAAAAATAAATAAGGGGCTGCAGGTGGTGTGGTGGTTGAGGGCGCTGGACTCCCACGTAGTTGACTACTGACCATGGTTCTAGTCCAGGATCTGGAGGCTTGCTTTCTCCCTTTCCCTTTCTCTCTCTCTCTCATTTTTTCCCTCTCTGGTCAAATTAAAATAAATGAATAAATAAATAAAGTTAAATAAAACAATTCTTTTAAGTAAATAAATAAGATAATACTTACCAAGAGAAGACTTCTGACACCTTACAAATAAAGAATTTAAAGACATGCATCTCAGTTTTCTTGTGTGTGAAGGGAGAAATAATTATAGCTCCCTCACTGGCCTGTAAATGAGGATTAAATAATGAGCCTTGGTATAATCCCTGGCCAGGTCCTTTTCAGAGTGTGTAGCTAGAACTCTTTTGCTCCTTCAGTCTAACTTTGGAGATGACTAGAAGACTGACATGGTCCTTGACCTTGAACCAAATGACCAGGGAGGCAGAACCTCTCCAACTGCTACATCCCTGTGCTGAACTCCAAATAGGATTGCACTCTTTGGAGAAACGGTCATTTTCATCCTCAGAAAGGAGTCTTTGGTCAGATAATTTGCTCTGAAGCATCTGGATATCCCCAGTGGGCTGTCAGCTGCCTCTAGTGCTGAGAAAACAAAGTGTCACATCACTCTGCAGAACTATAAAAAGATTTTTGTTTGCAGGCTGTTTGGGGGAGGAAAGTGCTGGCCCCAGCTGGCAGCTCCCATAGCTCTCTTAGCTGGGCCTTGCCCCAGGGTTTTGTTTTTCAGAGCTCACCAAGGTTTGCTGAAGTCCTTTAGGACTAATTTTGAAGGAGGTTGGGGCTGGGGAGAGGTCAGGGTTTGACTCAAGGCTGATGTGCCCAAGCCCAGATGGCCATAGCTGGGGAGTGACGGAACCAGATAAGGGTGTGGAAAGCAGGATATGGTGCCATGTATGCTCGGCAGCTGGTCTCCAGTGGCCTATGATTAAGCAGCAGTAGATGAATTTGTTAAAAGATTCAGATAAAATAGGAGTTGAGGGCATTTGGAGAGGTGAATTTCTCTGCTGGTGGTCACATGCCCACAGCACCCACCATAGAGAACAGTTCCTCATTTGATCAGTATTTTGTGCTTTGGTGTGAACACTTCTACCAAAGCCTGGACCATTGTGGGCGTGGACTTAGTTGGCTGTGTCTGGATCTGAGCTTTTATGGCAGTAGCTCCTTGAGCAAGGAAAGGTGTTTCCTAACCCCTCTGGGCTCCACCCTATTGGGTATGCCACTTTCTCTGTTTCTCTCTCTCTCTCTGTTTCTATCTCTGTCTATCTCTTTCCCCCAAGGGGAAAAAAAAAAAAGAAACAAAAATAAAAGGTGAAAGGCCAGAACTGATTAGGTTGCTATCCTTTAATTTTGGCAAGAAAAGTCTTTTTTAAAAACCCAACTTTTGGAGCTGGCAGGTGGTGCAGTGGTTAGGGGTGCTGGGCTCCCACATGGTCAGCTGAGGTTCGAGTCCCAGACCAAGTGACTTGCTTTCTCACTTACTATCTCTCTCTCTCACTCTGTCCCTCTCTGGTCAAATTAAAATAAATAAGTAAAGTCAAATAAAATAGTTCTTTTAAAAAATTCCAACTTTCCATTGTCACTACCATTTTCACACTAAATAAAAAATAAATAAGGGGCTGCAGGTGGTGTGGTGGTTGAGGGCGCTGGACTCCCACGTAGTTGACTACTGACCATGGTTCTAGTCCAGGATCTGGAGGCTTGCTTTCTCCCTTTCCCTTTCTCTCTCTCTCTCATTTTTTCCCTCTCTGGTCAAATTAAAATAAATGAATAAATAAATAAAGTTAAATAAAACAATTCTTTTAAGTAAATAAATAAGATAATACTTACCAAGAGAAGACTTCTGACACCTTACAAATAAAGAATTTAAAGACATGCATCTCAGTTTTCTTGTGTGTGAAGGGAGAAATAATTATAGCTCCCTCACTGGCCTGTAAATGAGGATTAAATAATGAGCCTTGGTATAATCCCTGGCCAGGTCCTTTTCAGAGTGTGTAGCTAGAACTCTTTTGCTCCTTCAGTCTAACTTTGGAGATGACTAGAAGACTGACATGGTCCTTGACCTTGAACCAAATGACCAGGGAGGCAGAACCTCTCCAACTGCTACATCCCTGTGCTGAACTCCAAATAGGATTGCACTCTTTGGAGAAACGGTCATTTTCATCCTCAGAAAGGAGTCTTTGGTCAGATAATTTGCTCTGAAGCATCTGGATATCCCCAGTGGGCTGTCAGCTGCCTCTAGTGCTGAGAAAACAAAGTGTCACATCACTCTGCAGAACTATAAAAAGATTTTTGTTTGCAGGCTGTTTGGGGGAGGAAAGTGCTGGCCCCAGCTGGCAGCTCCCATAGCTCTCTTAGCTGGGCCTTGCCCCAGGGTTTTGTTTTTCAGAGCTCACCAAGGTTTGCTGAAGTCCTTTAGGACTAATTTTGAAGGAGGTTGGGGCTGGGGAGAGGTCAGGGTTTGACTCAAGGCTGATGTGCCCAAGCCCAGATGGCCATAGCTGGGGAGTGACGGAACCAGATAAGGGTGTGGAAAGCAGGATATGGTGCCATGTATGCTCGGCAGCTGGTCTCCAGTGGCCTATGATTAAGCAGCAGTAGATGAATTTGTTAAAAGATTCAGATAAAATAGGAGTTGAGGGCATTTGGAGAGGTGAATTTCTCTGCTGGTGGTCACATGCCCACAGCACCCACCATAGAGAACAGTTCCTCATTTGATCAGTATTTTGTGCTTTGGTGTGAACACTTCTACCAAAGCCTGGACCATTGTGGGCGTGGACTTAGTTGGCTGTGTCTGGATCTGAGCTTTTATGGCAGTAGCTCCTTGAGCAAGGAAAGGTGTTTCCTAACCCCTCTGGGCTCCACTTGGGCCTCATGTAGAAAATGGAGGTAAGCGGGATCAGCAGGTGGTGTAATGGTTACATTGCTGGACTCCTACATAGTCAACTACGGTTTGAATCCCAGACTCAGCAGCTTGAAACTCGCACCATTTGTGCCCAATATCCCGAGAAGAGGGTGGTGGAGAAGGGATTATAGTGTGTCTATCTCCCCTGGAGGGGGTGTGATTTCTCACTTTTAGTCTGTCTTTCTCTGTCTCTCTGGTGAGCACACTCACCCTATTGCAAAAATCTCCTGGGAACCAGCAGTTAGCGTAATGGCTATGTCGCTGGCCTCCCACGTAGTCAACCGCGGTTCGCGTCCCAGACCCGGTGGCTTAAAACTCACGCCGGGCACGTGTGCGTGTGTGCCCAAGATCCCGAGAGGAGAATGGAGGAGAAGGGATTGTGGTGTGACCATCCCCCCTGGGGGGTGATTTCTCGCTTTCTGTCTCTATGTCTCTCTCTGTCTGCCTGGCGAGCGCATGTGCCCTATAGCGAAAAAACCTCTCAAAAAAAAAAAATCTCATTAAAAAAAAAAGGAAATAGAGATAAGAAAGCACCTACCCCACAATGCCATTGAAAGGATAAATTCTGGCTGTTATAGATTAATACTTAGCGAGTGTTAGCTCATGTTGTATTATGATGATAGACTAATTACTGAGGTTTAACAGCTTTATTTGAGGATTTACTCTCTCCCTTCCCACGCCTACCATTGATGGATATGATGACTCTTAGTACTAATGAATCTGAAAACAGAATTAGAAGGACAGAACTTTTGGGCCTGGCAGGTGGCATGGTGGTTAAGGCAACTGGACTCCCACATGGCCGACTGCAGTTTGAGTCCTGGACATGGCGGCTTTCTTTCTCTCTTGCTCTTGTCCCTCTCTAGTCAAACTTAAAAATAAGTAAAAATAAATAAAGTTAAATAAAATAATTCTTTCAAAAAAAAGGACTGAACTTTTAAGAAAATACAGTATGAGGCCGGCAGGTGGTGTGGTGAAGATGCTGAACTCCCATGTGGTTGACCATGGTTTGAGTCCCAGACCTGGCACCTAACTTTCTCGTTTTACCTTTCTCTCTTTCTTTCTCTGGTCAAATTAAAAAATAATAATAAATAAAATAAATAATTATCTTTTAAAAAGATTGAAAAAGAAGAAAATGCTGTATGCAATTTTATTCAGTCTCGAAACCAGTTTGTTCAGACATTAGGGTTAGGTATTTTATCTTTTCCACATAGCTACAGGATAATGTTAATGGGAAGGATATGGAACAACTAGAACTCTTCCACAAATATAGAATGCTACTACCTCTTTTTGTTAAACATGTGCTTATCCGGTGGCTGAACAATTCTACTACTACTTACCCAAGAGAAATTGGTGCTTGTGTCCGCAAAAGGTATCTTAAAGAATGTTCTCAGAGTTATACCCATCATAACCAAAAACCAAAACAACCCAACTACCCATCGACAAGAGAATGAGTATTAGCTTATCGAACGTTCATACCATATACTACTTATATAATAAACAATAAGAGGAAACAAACTACTGTTACACCTAACATGGTAGATAAATGTCAGGAACATTCTGTTGAGGGAAAGAAGCCAGATATGAAAGAGAACATATTGTATGATTTTATTTATATGAATTTAAAGAAAAGGCATAACTAATCTGTGGACGAGAGATGTTGGCATATTTTCCTCTATTGAGATTGATTGGGAAGGGGCAGGAAGACACTACTTAAGGAGATGGAAATGTTCTATATTTTCATCTAGGTGCTGGTTTTGTGGTTGTATTCATAGTTTAAAAATAAAGAGTTGAACTATGTAATAAATATTTTATGTTTATTAAATATTAGTATTACCTCAGTTTTAAAACTATGTATATATAGGCTAGATGTTATATCTTTCCATTGTATCTGTATATACCTAATAATTATAGTTCATATATCTCATTATAGTTATAATAATTATACCAATAATAACAACTAGTAACACTTATTGAGGACTAACACTATGCTAGAAGTTTTCTGACCACTTTTCACATATTAACTTATTTAATTTCCTTATAACATTATGCAGCAATTTTATTATTTTTTCCCACTTTATAGACAAAGAAACTGGGGCACAAAGAGGTGAAGTTCACGTATCCAAGCTTACACAGCTAGAAGCCTGGGTCCAAGGTCTGTGCCCTATCCACTCTATGGCACCTCCTAATCCATAGCACTTCCTCACCTCCCTCCTTTGTTCTTTGTCAGGGATGTGCTGAATTTCCTGCGCTCAGGGGACCTGCCACCCCGGGAGCGTGTGCGGGCTGTGTACAAAGAAGCCCAGTACTATGCCATTGGGCCCCTCCTGGAGCAGCTGGAGAATATGCAGCCACTGAAGGGCGAGAAGGTGCGCCAGGCATTTCTGGGGCTCATGCCCTATTACAAAGGTGAGAGGTCAACTGCCTGGGACAGCTGGGGTCTGGGGAAGGAGGGTTGCAAGGCATCCGTCAGCGTCCAGGTTTTTTTCCAGAACAAGTGAGTCCCAAGTTCATCTGAATTACTCAAGATGGAAGAGAATATCTTCCACTCCCAGTTGTACTGGAAAGCTTCAGGTTAAGTTGTCTCTGCCAGTGACAGTTAGGAAATCACATTTCAAAAAGACAGTCCATGGGACCAGCAGTTACGTCACTGGGCTCACACATGGCCGACCATAATTAGAATCCTGGACCTAGCCACTTGAAACTCACCGGGTATGTGTATGTGCATGCTCAAGATCCTGGGAGGAGGATGAAGGAGAAGGGATTGCATTGTGGCCATCTCCCCTGGGGGGTGATTTCTCACTTTCCCTTTCAGTATCTCTGTCTCTGTTTCTCTCTCTCTAGTGAGTGCATGTGCCCGAAGGCAAAAAACTCTAACAACAACAAAAAAGTTAAAAAAAATAAATAAATAGTCCTTATCCTGCTGGTTTCCTTTTGCTGTAGAAAACCATGACCCCTGTTTAAGTTTGTACCATTTATAGGACCGCTGATCCCCTTCCCCAGAAAATCTGTCTCTTTCTCCCTGTATCTTGCTGTCACTAGGACTCTCTGTGCACCCTCCCATCGCCTTGTCCCACTCCTTCACCCTGCCCCAGTGATAGATGCTGTGTTCACTCCTCATAGACCATTTGGAGCGGATCGTGGAGATTGCACGGCTGCGCGCAGTACAGCGGAAGGCCCGCTTTGCCAAGCTCAAGGTCTGTGTCTTCAAGGAGGAGATGCCCATCACCCCCTATGAGTGTCCGCTTCTCAATTCCCTGCGCTTCGAGCGGAGCGAGAGTGATGGGCAGCTGTTTGAGCACCACTGCGAAGTGGATGTGTCTTTCGGGCCCTGGGAGGCTGTGGCTGATGTATATGACCTGCTGCACTGTCTGGTCACGGACCTCTCAGCCCAGGGTCTCACCGTGGACCACCAGTGCATCGGTGTGTGTGACAAGCACCTTGTCAACCACTACTACTGCAAGCGCCCCATCTATGAGTTCAAGATCACATGGTGGTGAGTAGCCCTGGTAGGCATCAGAGTCCTGTCAGGGAGGGTGTCCAACCCCCTTGGTGGCTCTGGGAGAGAGATCCCTGGAGGGGCTGCTGACTGCCCCAGAACCAGCTGAGGTGAGGACCGAGTTCTGAGGCACAGCTCCAAGGGGATACAGGTGTAGCTCCTGTCTCCTGGCCACACCTCAAGGTCAAGCTCAGGCACACAGCCTGCAGCTACTTGGGCCCCACACTCACCCAGCCTTTCCTCGAGGCATGGCAGTCTTTACTTGAGACAAATGGTGTCTAGCTGGGGCTTGACCAGGAAGTTCAGAGAGGTTTTGTCACCTTCTTGACCCTGCAAGAGAATTTCTGCACACTGTAGAGCCACATTACCAAACTGATGTAGGCATAATCACTTCCTCAACCCTGTTCAAATATCCCTTCCTTGTGCTCAGTTTATTGGTATAAACACAGAGCAAGATGAGGATTTACCCTACACCGTAACCCCTGGCTAAAGAAGAAAGAG